TTTCGAGTTACTAACACTTAGCAACCGAACCGGTATCTAATACCCTGGTGCTACTAGGAGTACTAGTAAAGTACACATTAACATAATGTATATCCAATATACTTCTATCGACCTTGCCAGCCTTCTCATCTACCAAGTATCTAGGGTAATTCCGCTCTAGTGACTATTCCCCTTATCACAGAAGCACTTAGTCTCGGGTTTGGGTTCAACCTTGGGTTTCTTCACTGGAGCAGCAACTGATTTGCCGTTTCATGAAGTATCCCTTCTTGCCCTTGCCCTTCTTGAAACTAGTGGTTTCACCAACCATCAACAATTGATGCTCCTTCTTGATTTCTACTTTCGCGGTGTCAAACATCGTGAATACCTCAAGGATCATCATATCTATCCCTGATATGTTATAGTTCATCACGAAGCTCTAGCAGCTTGGTGGCAATGACTTTGGAGAAACATCACTATCTCATCTGGAAGATCAACTCCCACTCGATTCAAGTGATTGTCGCACTCAGACAATCTGAGCACAAGCTCAACGATTGAGCTTTTCTCCCTTAGTTTGCAGGCTAAGAAAATCGTCGGAGGTCTCATACCTCTTGACGTGGGCACGAGCCTGAAATCCCAATTTCAGCCCTTGAAACATCTCATATGTTCCGCGATGTTTCGAAAACGTCTTTAGTGCCTCAACTCTAAACCGTTTAACTGAACTATCACGTAGTTATCAAAACGTGTATGTCCGATGTTCGCAACATCCACAAATGACGTTTGGGGTTCAGCACACTGAGCAGTGCATTAAGGACATAAGCTTTCTACTGTCCGCATAATTGCTACTATCAACTTTCAACTATATTTTCTCTAGGAACATATCTAAACAGTGGAACTAAAGCGCGAGCTTACGACATATTTTGCAAAGGTCTTTTGACTATGTTCAGGATAATTAAGTTCATCTTATGAACTCCCACTCAGATAGACATCCCTCTGGTCATCTAAGTGATTACATGATCCGAGTCAACTAGGCCGTGTCCGATCATCATGTGAGACGGACTAGTCATCATCGGTGAACATCTTCATGTTGATCGTATCTACTATACGACTCATGCTCGACCTTTCGGTCTCCGTGTTCCGAGGCCATGTCTGTACATGCTAGGCTCGTCAAGTTAACCCTAAGTGTTTCGCGTGTGTAAATCTGTCTTACACCCGTTGTATGTGAACGTAAGAATCCATCACACCCGATCATCACGTGGTGCTTAGAAGCGACGAACTTTAGCAACGGTGCACAGTTAGGGGGGACACTTCTTGAAATTGTTGTAAGGGATCATCTTATTTACTACCGTCGTTCTAAGTAAACAAGATGCATAAACATAATAAACATCACATGCAATCAAATAGTGACATGATATGGCCAATATCATTTTGCTCCTTTTGATCTCCATCTTCGGGGCTCCATGATCATCATCGTCACCGGCATGACACCATGATCTCCATCATCGTGTCTTCATGAAGTTGTCTCGCCAACTATTACTTCTACTACTATGGCTACCGGTTAGCAATAAAGTAAAGTAATTACATGGCGTCTTTAATGACACGCAGGTCATACAATAAATTTAAGACAACTCCTATGGCTCCCGTCGGTTGTCATACTCATCGACATGCAAGTCGTGATTCCTATTACAAGAACATGATCAATCTCATACATCACATATCATTCATCACATTCTTGTTGGCCATATCACATCACATAGCATACCCTGCAAAAACAAGTTAGACGCCCTCTAATTGTTGTTTGCATGTTTTACGTGGTTGCTATGGGTTTCTAGCAAGAACGTTTCTTACCTACGCAAAAACCACAACGTGGTATGTCAATTGCTATTTACCCTTCATAAGGACCCTTTTCATCGAATCCGTTCCGACTAAAGTGGGAGAGACTGGCACCCGCTAGCCACCTTATGCACCAAGTGCATGTCATTCGGTGGAACCTGTCTCACGTAAGAGTACGTGTAAGGTCGGTCCGGGCCGCTTCATCCCACAATACCGTCGAAACAAGATTGGACTAGTAACAGTAAGCATATTGAACAACATCAACGCCCACAACTACTTTGTGTTCTACTCGTGCAAAGAATCTACGCAATAGACCTAGCTCATGATGCCACTGTTGGGGAACGTAGCAGAAATTCAAAATTTTCCTACGTATCACCAAGATCTATCTATGGAGAAACCAGCAACAAGGGGAAGGAGAGTGCATCTACATACCCTTGTAGATCGCTAAGCGGAAGCGTTCAAGAGAACGGGGTTGAAGGAGTCGTACTCGTCGTGATCCAAATCACCGGAGATCCTAGTGCCGAACGGACGGCACCTCCACGTTCAACACACGTATAGCCCGGTGACGTCTCCCATGCCTTGATCCAGCAAGGAGAGAGGGAGAGGTTGAGGAAGACTCCATCCAGCAGCAGCACAATAGCGTGGTGGTGGTGGAGGAGCGTGGTAGTCCAGCAGGGCTTCGCCAAGCACCTACGAGAGAGGAGGAGGTGTCACGGGAGGGAGGGAGGCGCCAGGGCTTCTGGTATGGATGCCCTCCCTACCCTCCACTATATATAGGGGCAAGGGAGAGGGGGGAGGTGCACCCTTGCCCCTTCCTCCAAGGAAGGGGTGCGGCCAAGAGGGGGGGAGGAGTCCATCCTCCCCAAGGCACCTCGGAGGTGCCTTCCCCCTTGAGGACTCTTCCCTCCCCAAGTTTCCTTGGCGCATGGGCCTCTTGGGGCTGGTGCCCTTGGCCCATATAGACCAAGGCGCACCCCCTACATCCCATGTGGCCCCCCGGGGCAGGTGGACCCCCCCGGTGGACCCCCGGACCCCTTTCGGCACTCCCGGTACAATACCGATAAAGTGCGAAACTTTTCCGGCGACCAAAACAGGACTTCCCATATATAAATCTTTACCTCCGGACCATTCCGGAACTCCTCGTGACGTACGGGATCTCATCCGGGACTCCGAACAACATTCGGTAACCACATACAAACTTCCTTTATAACCCTAGCGTCATCGAACCTTAAGTGTGTAGACCCTACGGGTTCGGGAGACATGTAGTCATGACCGAGACGTTCTCCGGTCAATAACCAACAGCGGGATCTGGATACCCATGTTGGCTCCCACATGTTCCATGATGATCTCATCGGATGAACCACGATGTCAAGGACTCAATCGATCCCGTATACAATTCCCTTTGTCTAGCGGTATAGTACTTGCCCGAGATTCGATCGTCGGTATACCGATACCTTGTTCAATCTCGTTACCGGCAAGTCTCTTTACTCGTTCCGTAACACATCATCCCGTGATCAACCCCTTGGTCACATTGTGCACATTATGATGATGTCCTACCGAGTGGGCCCAGAGATACCTCTCCGCTTACACGGAGTGACAAATCCCAGTCTCGATTCGTGCCAACCCAACAGACACTTTCGGAGATACATGTAGTGCACCTTTATAGACACCCAGTTACGTTGTGACGTTTGGTACACCCAAAGCATTCCTACAGTATCCGGGAGTTGCACAATCTCATGGTCTAAGGAAAAGATACTTGACATTAGAAAAGCTTTAGCATACGAACTACACGATCTCTACGCTAGGCTTAGGATTGGGTCTTGTCCATCACATCATTCTCCTAATGATGTGATCCCGTTATCAATGACATCCAATGTCCATGGTCAGGAAATCGTAACCATCTATTGATCAACGAACTAGTCAACTAGAGGCTTACTAGGGACATGGTGTTGTCTATGTACCCACACATGTATCTGAGTTTCCTATCAATACAATTATAGCATGGATAATAAACGATTATCGTGAACAAGGAAATATAATAATAACTAATTTATTATTGCCTCTAGGGCATATTTCCAACAATGCGCCGACCAGTGGTTGCGGGAACTCCATACGCACGATTAGAGGCGCGGTGAGGTGAGACGGCGCGGGTCCGGAGAGGTTGACGGTGATGGCGGTGTGGAGGGACGGAAGTTTCCCTCCCACCAAGTCGCGCATGGGATAGAGGGAGCGGCAAAACAGGGGAAAATTGAAGATTTGCCGAGTGTAGGTTGAGATATGCAGGTCCCCGCAATTTTTTTACAAGACTGGCCGTTTTACGGGATCTGGTCGGGACGATTTTTTGTCTCGATTTTGTGAAACGACGATTATTTTAGGGGGAGGGGGATTCATGGGATCTACTAGAGTTGCTTTACTGAACGTTACCTACGAGCACATGGCAACTTCGAACGTTTTTGAGGGCATTTTTTTCTTTTGTGAGTTTTCCGAGGGCAAATTTAGTGACGCGAGGATGATAACTTTAGTTATCAAGCATGGCAACTTTCGTGCTTCAGTTTTTTTAGAGAAAATTGTCGTGCTTGCCAACTAACTTTCCATCCTCGCGTTGCTAAACTTGCTGTATTTTTTTCCGAAGTTTCCTTGTGTAGTATTTATCATTTTCGGTAAGAAAATACACTTTTTTAGGGGTGAGAAAACACACTCACTTCGTCTTAAAATAAGTGTCTCAACTTTCTGTAAATACTAGCAAGTGACCCATGTGTTGTACGGAACATCAAGATGCATTTATACGAGCTGTTCATCTTGTGAGAAACAAAGATGAACGAGGAAAGGACTTATCTGCAAATATGGAGAGGGGTGCGGGTATCTTTTTACAAAATTATCATAGTTTGCTTTTTATCCATCAAATATAGGTCGGACGGTCTATACTACAGGATGACAGACACGTTATCATCATCAACTCGATTTTTTATAAGAGTAGAGAAGTGTCTCATTTTGGGACAGAGGGAGTACATGGAAATGCAAGAATCATCGGTGAATCTTCCTGCAATAGCTGTCAAGTTTGGGCCAGTAGCTACCACATAAAAAGGGCCAAGGGAAGCCCAATTTGACGAGGCTTTACGTCCCAGTTAAGACCTACCTTCCTTATTCGGCTCCACCATAACTTTGCCCGTTAGCGGTTTCGCCTCCCCGAAATGCTTCTTCCTGTGGGCAACCACGGCGGCGACGGCGACTGCGGCGCCGTTCAGCTCGCCGCCGAGATCGAGGAGCTCTCCTTGGGTTCCACGGGCGGTCTACGGGACCGTCTCAGCGCGCTCCCCGACGATATCCTCCATTCCATCCTCCTGCGCCTCCCTTCCACCCCCGCCGCCGCCCGGACCTGCGTCCTCTCACGCCGCTGGCGCGGAATCTGGGCCCAGCTCCCGGAGATCCGATTCCCCTTCCCCTCCGACCCGGCCGCCGTCGGCCCCGCGCTCGCCGCCAGCGCCGCTGGCCCGGCCCTCCGCCTCCTCCACGTTGCGTGCCGCGACGACACCGGCGCCAACGCTTGGCTCCGCACCGCCGCGAGCCGGCTCATCGCAGGCGGAGAGCTTTACTTCTACAAAAGGACGCCGGGGGAGGAGAAGGGGCAGGCGGAGGCGCTGTCCTGGCAGTGCCGCACCTTCGAGCTGCCCTGCTTCGAGACGGCTGCCAAGGTATGGCTCCGCCTAGGGTTCGTCGACCTGGAGCTCCCACTGACCGGCGTGTTCTTCAGGCTCACTGAGCTGCGCTTGGAACACGTGAATTTGGAGTGTGGTTTCCAGCTCGGCGACATGGTCTCGTCGTCACGGTGCCCGGCGCTGCGGGAGCTCTGCATCGCAAGTGCCCGGGGAGTGGTCAGCCTCTGCATCATCTCGCAGACACTTGAGCGTCTTGAATTGGATATTCTGCATGGACTTGAGGAGCTCACTGTTATTGCGCCAATGCTCAGAGCGTTGAATGTGTACGCTTGCTTTGCTTGGAGGAAGCCAGTCGCTGCCATTTATGCATCGATGCTGGAGGTTCTCTGGTGGAGTGATGCATTTGATCCGAGCTTCGTACTGTTCAGCGACGTGCAGAATCTCCAGCAGCTGGCCACCTTCGACATCCATGTTTATGGGCGCTTTGATTACGCACTCCTTCAGGATTATGTGATGCTCTTACAGCACTTTCCAACTGTCTCCTGCCTTGACCTCAAACTGAACTATCAACGTGTGAGTACACCTTCTCTTTATGTGGAAGTGGAAATACACTAGTACTTAGTAAGAAGTTAGCAAACTGATGCCACAAAATTACCTTTAGAGTTTAGTAGATTATTTTTGTATACTTGCTTGTTATGGACTTACTAACTCAAGAGTTAGAACAACAGGAATACCTATTATTTAAACAGCTTAGATCACATTCTCATGTCAAACTTCAGAGTTGAGGCTCAAACTCAGAATATGTTTCTAGAGAATTAGCATTGCAATTGTTCATTCTTCTACCGTGGAAATCTTCAGAGGCAAACATAATTTCAAACAAGTTCATTGTATTATCTATTGGGTTTGTTAAAAAAAGCTGTCTTCATGAATAGACAGTTTGCTTTTGGAACTACATTGTTGAGTTTTGTCTGTCTTCTCTTGCTTTTGCAGGATTTAAGTCAGTATGAATACTTGATGGGTATCATAACCAGGCTTCCCAAAATTAAGATTTTGTCCCTGTGGTTACACACAAAAGGACATGCAATTGGGCCTTCTGTGTTCCATCTGCTGAGCAAATGTCCTGGTATTAGAGGGCTGAAGCTGACGCTAATTGACAACTTAGAGGTAAATTTATAAGAACTTCTCTTATGTAATACGTACTTTGGTTATTGCTGGAGTGATGTTAATTGATTGAAAAACATTTACACCATTCTCACCCTAAAGCTTGATCTGCTAACAGCATATTCTGTTGATTTAATATTGTTGTATTGCTCCAATTTTATGATTAGAAATACATGAACCCGTGAAACTATGAAATTGACCTGATTTCAGTCATGTAGTCAATTCCTCATGCATGTCACAGAGGTGCAAGAGGCCCCAGTTTTGATCTTGTAGCTGATTCAGTAGTCTAGGCTGTTTTAGTTCTACTTCAACCCACTTTGATATTTTAATTTTTCTGTCATTACATATTTTGCATTTCCAGATTCTCTTTAGTTTAGTCTCCAGTGATAACTGTTGTGAAATGATCCTCTACTATTTAGTTCCATTGTTATGTTTCTCTTTTTTGAGGGAAGCTCCACTGCTATGTTGAGATGGAGCAGTTCAAATGGATGTCAAGTTAGGCTTCACACATTTGAAAGATACTTCGAAGACCGGACACGTATGCCACAAGATTGGTGCCTATGCGAACCCAACTGATGGTGTCTATGCGAGCCATGAGCACTAACAGATGCTGTTAGAGGCCTTGGCCTCAGATCAATTTGAAACAATTTTTTAATATGGATAGCTGGCAACTGGTGGTACAATACTTAGGTTTGGTGTTATCCTACAAAAATATGTTTTTATCATAGCACTATGTTTGCACTAAGGATCTATTTCTTTGGTAGCTATTGCTGATGACACATATCGACCTTTTGCTACCATTCTTCTGTTGTCTTTAGTTAGTCTTGAGCATACTTTCTCTTTATTTCAGGTGGATACACCGTGCACATCGGTTTGTGCTTGTTGTCAGCAACAGAACTGGAGTACATCTTACACCTTGGATGTCCTTGAGGAAGTGGAAATCCGTAACTTCAGAGGATTGGAACATGATTTCGCCTTCGTGGATATGCTGTTTGGTGTGTCCACGGGTATAAAGAAGATGACGATAACACTCCATCATCTGGCCAGTCCAAGCGAGGAGCTCCGCAGCTTGGGCAACCTGGGGGCCTGTTTCGAAATAAATTATAATACGAGCGAGGTGTCGTATGCACCGCCCGGCAGTCTGTTCCCAAAGACCCCGGACGACTGTTGTGAATAGTAATTGTGTAGTTTAGTCTCGGGCCCTGATGCCCTTGATGTGGTTAGTTGCATACCTTGCAAATATTTTTCCTTTCTGAGAGAAGATCCTTGCATTGTCACCATCCCTTGTTGCAAACTATAGAGGAACTGGATATTTGTTGCCAATTTGCCATCAGGGCACAAGCTACTATCTTGTGACGTGAAGATATGCTTCTATAAAGCTGTGTTCTCGACTGCAAATGTACAAGTTTGTACAAGTTTTGCTAACCTGTGTCACCAATTGGAGCAGGCCATGCCGTTGAAATGTTGAATTATGTAGAACTTCAGTTCTTCAGACGGCCAGATTGCTCATCTGGGGACAGAGGTTCGGTCTCTTCCTTTGTCCGGTCCTCTTCGGCTCTTTCCCATTTCACCTCTCTGCATTCTTTTGTTTAAATCAAGATTTAGAACCAACTAAAATTACTCCCACAGGAGCTACAGCTACATCATATACACTCAAATTAAGAATGCTTAAAATTCAGCAAAATGCAAAAGGTATCTTGTGGAACATCACAAAGACAAATTTGCCAGCTGGGAAACAGCAAAAAGGTTCTCAAATCACTGTGCGTGTGCGTCAGGAAAAAGCTCATAAGCTTAATTGAAACCTGCCAAATGTGTCATGTGACACGGAAAATGTTGGCTACTGCACTGAAAATACTGTCAAGAAATAATTTAGCCACAAACTAAAATCATAATTGAGTAAAAATAATCTGGGCTGAATTCATAATCTGTCAGACTATCCGAAATACTATAAGCTGTGAACTGACAGAAACTTGCTTCAATTTGTCAATCAGCTTTCCGACTCATGCAGTTCACTGAAAGAGTAATCCAGTAGCTGTAGGTATAACAATGACAAGAAATGATCCTAGATGCATGAGCAAGAGCGCGGCAAAATATCAGTTCACAATCTAGAGTGCAATCACACAAAACTACTACCTATAATATGTATGTGCCAGAGGAATTAGAGGAGGTATATATTTATTTTGGTGGGATGGAAGAAAGAATGCAAATTTAAAGCGTTTTATGTTCCCGCGGAGCCACAATCTAACACAAGCGATGGCTGATGTGCAGACAATAAAGATTCGTTACAAAAATCTTTCCATCTTTTTTTAACGCATCAACGGCGGGCTTACGCCTACCTGAACTTTTATTTCCAATTGAGGAGCGGTTACACGAGAACAGAGTTACAGACGTAAGAGAGAAGAAATTACAAAGCATAGAAAAAAAAGGTCTATAATCTCTCAGATAGATGAAACAACAGAGGCCCAGTCATTTAGTAAATCTCGATTCTGAATATTGTTGCAGCGATTAGCCCAGAGGGTCAGGTCGTCAGCCGCGGCTCTGGCGATGTGACGAAGGCCATGGTGCTCGGAGCAAAAAACCTTACCATCTTTACGAGTGACATTTATACTTGTCCACCATTTTATGGTTGACAGTGTTAAGGGTACATTTGAAGAGTGTGAAAAATGAAACTCTTGGTTGCTCCCCAACGCAGTTCACACATCAGTAGCATTGTATCTCAACGACCGATTTGTCTTCTCCATTTTCTCTCTCTTTAAGGTCAACTCCACAACGTATAGGAACATCTTTGTACATCAGTTTGATAAGCACTAGAGCAGAGATGTTAGTAGCCCTATTTACTGTGCATGAAGTTTGAGACGCCATAACGGCATCACCAGTAATCTCCACAAGTGCAGGACCCGTCGACAAAATGGTGGAATCTGTTTCTGTCTCTGAACACAATCTTCCTGCTAGTGATCTTGGATATCAGCTTCAGCACTGCATGGCAGTCGGAGCATGCCCGTAGGTTCTTGACAATCTTGATCGTCACCCCAGGCTGCGTGCTTATCAGTCCAAATGCAACAGCAAGCTTCTCGCTGTGGACCGCAAGTGCCTTCTCCTTCGTGGCCTCATCCAGGTCATGTAGAACCAGCTCTGTTTGCGGAACATGTCCATGCTCCTTCACAAGGCCATTCATCTTGTCTAACATGGCATATATTTCATTGGTGCAGGGGTGGCTCATATCCCCCGCAACGAACTCGTATACCTTGCGGTCTATCTCAATACCACTAGCCTTCATCATGGACCGCACCCGCGCCACTTCTTCCCATTTACCGACAGCTGCATAGATGTTGGAAAGGAGGATATACACCCCTGAGTTGGCTAACCCCTTGGCAACAAGGAAGTCCGCAAACCGCTGGCCTAACGCCATGTTCTTGTGAAGCCGGCATGCAGCAAGTAGTGACACCCACATGACAGCGTCAGGTGTTATTGTCATGCTCTGCACAAGATGGAATGCTTCTTCTATGAGCCCCGCACGACCCAGAAGGTCCACCATGCAATCATAGTGCTCGATCTTGGGATCAATGCCGTACTCATGCTCCATCGACTGGAAGAACCTGCGGCCCTCCTCAACCAGCCCAGAATGACTGCACGCATTGAGCAAACCAATGAAGGTGATATCTGTCGGCCACAGGCCCTGCTCCCGCAATTGCACAAACATCTCCAGTGCCTTTCTGCTATCTCCGTGCATTGCATAACCATTGATCATGGCGTTCCACACAACAATATCTTTGTCACCAATGCCGTGGAATACGGCAACAGCGTCCTCCAAGCTTCCGCATTTGCAGTACATGTCAATGAGTGCCGTGCCCACTCTGACATTGAGTTGAACACGCCAATTGTTCTTGACATAGGAATGAAGCCACTTCCCTGACTCCACCGTACCAAGCTGCGCAACCGCAGACAGCACCAGCACAACTGTCACCTCGTCAGGCTCAACGCTCGACCTCAGCATCCGCCGAAACAACTGGAGCGCCTCATTAGGCTTCCCGTGCTGCGTGTACCCGTCAATCATCGCGTTCCAACAGATGAAGTCCTTCCTGGGCAACCCGTCGAACAGCCTGCGCGCGTCGTCCAGCGCACCCATGTTCGCGTAGCAGGTGAGCATCGCCGTGACAGACACGACGTGCGGATCTGGCATCTCGTCGAAAAGAGCACGAGCGGCAGCGGCGTCCCCCGCCCGCGCGTACATGCTGAGCAGCGCGGTGGCGACGTAGGAGTCACCGGAGAGGGCCAGCTTGAAAGCGTACGCGTGCAGGGCGCGCCCCAGGGCGAGTCCGCGGCAAGCGGGGAGGGATGCGGAGAGGGTGTGGGCGGTGGGCAGGAGACCCTCAGACAGCATGTCGGAGAGGAGCGCGAGCGCGGGGAGGTGGAGGCCGCGGGAGGAGTGGGCATGGATGGCGGAGGTGTAGAAGATGGCGGTGGGGTCCTGGGTGCGGCGGAGGAGGGTGAGCGAGAGGCCGAGGCGGCCGGACGCGGCGTAGGCGCGCTGCAGGCGGAAGGCGACGGCCCGGTCGCTGTCGATGCCCGTGCGGACCACGGCCGCGTGAAGCTCGGAGGCGCGGCGGGCCGTCGAGCAAGCGGCGAGGAGCGACGCGGCGCGATCGGCGATGAGGGCGCCATGGTGGCCGCCGGAGTCCCTGGCGGGGGCGACAGAGGGGAGCACTGCGGCGGACATCTGGGAAGCCGCTACGGACTGCGGGGCGGGAGGGAGTGGCGCGTCGTTCACTGGCTCAGTCTCACTGCGCAGCTTATCCTCGCAAGATAACCCTTGAAGGCAACGATATGGCTTATGCTACCGTATAGTCATATTATCTATAGGTTGAAAGCAGCGATATGGCTCATACTACCATATAGTCATACGGACGTCGTTTTACTTGGTCGAACGAGAGGAGGCTCCTACCTTGACTAAGATCGACAGGGTGCTCATCTCAAAAAAAAAAAAAAGATCGACAGGGTGCTAGCAGGGTCGAGCAGGCAAAATTGGAGGCCCTGTGCAACATTCTAAAATGGGTCCTATCTCACTAAAAAAACACTACATAAACATATAACTGTAATAATATAATGATCATAGTATTTTACATATCAATTGAAAATATCAAGAATCCTACATATTTTTTGTTTCTTCAAACGCTTTTGGTAACCAGACTCATGTTTTCTCAATGAAGATATGACTTGCCACTTGGATCTTGCAATACTAAACACCTATAATAGATAAAAAGAATAAAATTAACTACAAGATTTTAGTACGACTAAATAGCGGGTGGAAAGCGAAACTCAAAGTCAAGGGGTCAAAGGATCACCGATTATTGACGCGAAGATGCTTAAAAATTCGAGATCGAAAGGTGTGAACTTTCCTCGCCTTTAGAGTTCAGAGTTCAGATGAAGCAGGTCCTCTATGGGGGCTGCTATTCGGGCGGCGTGGCCCTCATGTGTCCTGTGTCCTGACTGCTGAAAAAGATCTACCACGTTGGAATGAAACTGCTCGACCATGGATTCAACACCAAGGAAAGAGGACTCGACAGGAGTCAGGAGCCCTAACCTGCCGCGTCGAGCGATGGCTG